GCACCCTCCTCAACGCCAGCACCCCCAGAGTCCACGAAGGGCTGCTGAGTCTGCTGGTGCTGCTGCGGCGGCGGCGGCGGCGACTGCTGCTGCTGCGGCTGCGACGACGGCTGCGGCGGCGACTGCTGTGACGGGGGAGGGAACACCGGGGGAGAGGCAGGTGGCGAGAACTGCGCCGCGGGACCACCAGAGTCAGCCGACTCCTCGACCGGGACAAGTGACGTGAGGGGAGTGATGTGAGAGACACCAGACGGAGCAGGACGGGGAGGGAGGGAGCAGGGGCTACCTGGGGAGTGGGAACCAGAAACAGAGGTGGGGAAACCGGGAGACCTCGGTGGGGAAAGCGACGGTAAAAAGAGACAAAATTGTCGAAAGTGACGTTACGCGAGTGAAGGAAGCGATGAGACGGCGGGTGGGAAACGAGTCAGGCAGACGAGTCAAGGGGGAAACCAAGGAAGACACAGTGGACAGTGCGTGCAGTGAGTGTGAGAGTACGACCCCGTTACACTTCTTTCTCATTTCTACCTTGTTCCTCTATCTCATTCTTCTAATTATCATGATTCCTTTGATCTTTATTACATCCCATTTGGTTTCCTATTCCTCTTTTCTCATTATTCTTTGGGTTATCCTATTATTATAATTATATCACCGACCAGGCTCGGGATGTACTGGCGCGCTATATGTAGCGTAATCTTGCCGCAATCCCTTAAAGCCAATTGCCTTGCGTGGCTATGCATAGGGTGGTTCTATTTCTAGAAGGGTCTATTCCCTTTTGATTGGATAAACTTGGTTACCTGATGTACCTCGGAAGTATAAAAGTGTCTTGTATCAATCGATAGTGCAATTTTTCCTTGACACATTAGATCATGTAACACTTGGTAATTAGAGCTTTTCTCACTCTGCCCCGCTCAGCTAAGCAGAAGAAGCGGGAAAACCTGCCTCGCAATACTGCCGGGGTCGACTAATTCGGCGCCGATTCTGGTAAGCCCCAGCTCCGCGTTTTTTTAAATAACCCACGGGCGGTCAACGCGTACGAATCGCGGCGACACTGATGAGAGGGCCGACACTCGAGTGAATCGGCGGCAAAAGTACTTTCATCTACTGTGAAGCCACGTGGCAGCAGTTCCGCACCGACCTGCTGAAACGCTTTGAGCCGATAAATTCGAGTTTCCTTGCCCAAGAAAAATTTCATCGCCATCGACAGTTCGGGAGTGTAGCACAGTACACGCAACAGATGGAGGAATTTTATAACAGCATTCCCGACCTGACCGAAAGGGAAAAAGTACAGTCGTATCTCGCCGGGCTGAATTCCGAAGTCAAACGATAGGTAGTAGCGACAAATTACGCGAGCTACTGTGACCTCGTATAGGCAGCAGAGCGGTTTGACATGGTCAACACCGGAATACGTCAGGTGCACGTCAGCAGTACGCGACAGGGCGATCGCTCGGCCCACCCCACGTTCGCCGACCCGATGGAAATTAACAGGTTCGACAGGCGGTCACTTCCGAAAATCACCAACTACACGTGTGATTTTTGCGGGGTGCCGGGCCATCGAATCTTCAACTTCAACAAAATGAAAGTCACACGAGCAGAGTATCGGGCACGCAACAGTAGCGGAAATTCTTCGGCCAATCATCAGACAAAAAACGGAATTCGCTAGTGATTGCGGATCTAGCTGGCAAAAAAGAAAAGATCTGAAAGCGGCCGCGGGATTCCGGGAAAATAAACTTCAACGAAGCTGATTCGACGCGAGCAAGAGGAAATGATAATCTCCACCCCACGACCAGTCTTCGCCAGGGAAAATCGCTGATAAAAAATCCGACTCTGTGAAAGAGGACTCTACCCAGACGGGGAAACTCCGGGACGACCCAAGAAATGATAAGGATTCGTTAAAGCCTTGGAGAAATTTCAGCAGGGACTCCAGAAGAAGCATAAACTTGTGGAGATCGTAGCGGTGCCGAAAAACTTGGGGACAAAATTAAGGAGTGTGAAAAGAAGCCGACCTTTTTACGGAGTCAACGACCTCTCCCGACACCAGCCCACAACGACTACCCGTTCAGCAGGGAAGACGTCAGTGGAGCTGAAGCAGCTCAAGAGGAAGCTGGGGGTCTACAAGAAGCTGCAAAAACCCCGAACTCCTTTGAATGCATCTAGCTCAGCAAATTCGACATCAACGACACACACAGTCATCAAGAAAGCTCAGGGTCCTAAGGGAGAGCCTTTCTCCAATCAGCCTCAGCCAGCCCAAGATTAGATAACAAAGAAAAGGTGTGTACGGAATATAGGGATGTACCCTATGATCCTATTAACGAAACTATCTTTGGGTACTCCGAACAACGCTTGCCCCACGTGCTCGAGGTCATCTGCAAGGGACGACGCCTCCAAGCACTCGTGGACAGCGGAGCATCACACACTGTATGCAATAAGGCAGTAATCGACTGACTTCGGGAAGAGTACACGCCTTCAGCATTCTCTGCAATGATGGTGGACGGGCTCAAGTTACAAGTATACGGCGAAGCAGTGTTAGACCTACAAATTGGACCACTGTGCTGGAAACCTGCACTCCCGATCACCAACATAAAAGGTCTTGACTTGATCTTTGGGCGAGACTTCCTAAATAGATTCAACCCCAAGATCAACAGGGTAAATCGTGTCAAATATGTATTGTTATGTTTGTACAAATTGTATAGGTTTGTGTTTTAGAGGGTACAACTTCTAGGTTATATTCCCTTGTACTCTCCCATTCTAGTTCATTCTCTCATTCTAACATGGTATCATGAATAGGTTAGGTCCATCTAGCCTGCCCATGCTTCCGCCCTAGGCCTTAACCGCCCTTGTGCGCGTTCCTAACCGGCCCCTTGCGCCCCTTGCGCCCGTCGCGCTCGTCATAGCCGGCCCCCCGCGCCCAACCTCTGAAGGACCTGGCGCACCAAGTGTGACTGAGTCAAAGTGATAGTGCGCGCTGCTCTGTCCCTGGAGATCTGCAAGCCAAGGTAGTGGCGCAGTTCTTCAAGGTCAGTGCAGGTGTGTCTCTTCAGCAGCTCTGCCTTCACGGAGGCCAGTGCGTCCCTGTCTGCTGTGGCAAAGACTAGGTTGTCTACGTAAACAAGGATGTAGAACCGGGTCTGGCCAGCACGAACGAAGAGCGAGGGGTCTGCAGAGGACGGAAAGAACTGCAGGTCAGCAAGCGTAGCACGCAGCGTGTCGTGCCACTCACGGAGAGCCTGCCGAAAGCCGTAGACGGGGCGCCGCAGGAGCCACTGGGTCCAAGGAGGGAAGGTACCAGTGAAGCCCTGCGGGCGGCGCATATAGACCTGCTCATCTAGACTGCCCTGAAGAGACGTAGTGGAGAAGTCGAGGGAGTGAAGCTCGTAGTCACGCTGAGCAGCTACGTATAGCAACACCCAAAGAGTAGTCACCTTCGGGGTCGGAGCGAAGGTCTGGAAGAAGTCCACCCCCTCACGCTGACTAAAACCTCTAGCCACGTAGCGCGCCTTGAACACAGGCGGCTCTCCAGGAGGGCGCTTCACCTTGAAGAGCCAGTGGCCATCGACTACGTTCACCCCAGGTGGGGGAACTGCATCGACGTAGGTGCCGGTGGATCTCCAAGATGCCATCTCCTTCTCCATGGCAGCTATCCACTGAGAGGCCCAGGGTCCCGAGACCGCCTCAGCGTAAGTGCAAGGGGTCGGGATGTCGAAAGCGCCGGGGTCACCCTCAGGGAATAGAAGCATAGAGCAGAGATGGGGAGCAACCTCGGACAGGAAAGCAAGCTCGTACTGGCGGTCCTCCAGGACGTCACTGCCGAGGGCAGGAGCACCCCCGACAGACGAGGGCAGGGTCAGAGACCAGAGCAGTGGCGTAGTCAAGGCGGCGGGTAGAGGCAAAGTCAGGGACCGCAACGACAAGGGCGTCAAGACTCGAAACTGGAACAGACGAGTCAGTAACGAGGGAGGCAAGGACCCGAGGAACAAGAGGATGAGCGGCACGCAGGTAGTCAGACAGAGGGGAGGGAGCAACAACAAGGGAGGACGGAGGGGGCGACAGGAGAAGGGGAGGACGAGACGCGTGGGAACGAAGCAACATAGGGTGCGAGCGCGAGATAGGGGAGAGGACACAGGAGGGGAACGAGGGGGGAAACGGGCCAGAGACAAGTCTGGAGGAGGGAACACAAGGCCGTAGACAGGAGGAGGAGGAGGCACGGGCACGAGGTCATGGACGGAAGGCCGAGAAGACGAAGAGCGGACACCGGCGGGGACTGTTGCAGCGGCGGTGTGACACCGGCACCGCAAGCGGCCTGGCGGCTACCTCCAGAACACTCCACGCCAGCACCCCCAAAAGGAACACCCCCGGAGCTTAGAACCCCTCGAGCACCGGTACCACCCCCAGGCCCGTCGGGACAAGCCACGATAGGAGTCCCAGGACTAGTACCCACCACAACTCCAGCACCCCCAGAGGCTACGAACGGCTGCGGCGGCGGCGGCTGCAACAGCGGGGGCGACGGCGGCTGCGGAGGTGGCAGAGGAGGAGACACCGGAGAACGGGCAGGCGGCAAGGACTGCGCCGCAAGACCACCAGAGTCGGCAAACTCCTCAACCGGGACAACCGACGTAAGGGGGATGACGTGAGACACTCCAGAGGGGGCTGGACGGGGAGGGGGAGGAGGAGGGGCGGCAACGACCGGGGAAGGGGGGACCAGGAACAGGGGGGGGGTAACCGGGGGACCGCGGTGGGGGAAGCGGCGGAAGAAGGAGACGGACTCATCAAAGGTGACGTCGCGGGAGTGAAAGAACCGGTGAGACTGCGGGTGGTAGAAGTGCCAGTCAGACACGTCAAGGGGGAAGCCAAGGAAGACACAGTGTGAGAGTACGACCCCGTTACACCACTTGGCCTTTTCTTATTTCCTTCCCTTTTCATTTCTCGTTTTACCGCATCTCATTTGGTTTCCTATTTTCCATTTTCCATTATCCTTTGGTCTCTTCCTTTATTATAATTATATCACCGACCAGGCATGGAATGTACTAGAGACGTTATCCAGCGTAATCCTGCCGTAATCCCTTAAAGCCAATAGCCTCACGTGGCTATACGCAGGGTGATTCTATCTTCTAGAAGGGTCTATTCCCTTAGGATAAGATAAACCTGTGTACCGATCGATAGTGCAACCTTTCCTCGACACATTCGATCCTGTGACACTTGGTAATCAGCGCTTTTCTCACTCGGCCGCGCTCAGCTAAGCAGCCGCAGCGGGGATCCTGCCTCGAAAAACCGCCGGGGGCGACCAATTCGACGCCGATTCTGGTAAGCACCAGCTCCGCGCTTTTCGAATTACCCCCTCCGTGCGTGTTTTGAACAGGATGGCAACCTTCGACAACGCCGAGGTTACCCAGCAGCTCTTCGCGCGCATCGCAGCCCTTCAGGAGGAAATGCGAGCGGATCGCGAAGCGTGGCGAAACGAGTTCGAACGAGTAACTCGACTCGCCGGAGCGCAGCACGAGACGACAACGGCGACGACGCAGCAGTCGCAGCAGTTTCTCGAGGCTCCGAAACCGCGCCCACCTGAGCCGTTCGATCCGAGCGATCGAAACTCCGACGCCCGCAGATGGATCGCCGGGATGGAGATCTACTTCGCAGCCGTCGGATGGAGCTCGCCAGTCTGGGACGGTCAACGTGTACGACTCGTGGCGACACTGATGCGAGGGCCGGCACTCGAGTGGATTGGCGGCAACAGTACTTTCATCCACGGTGAAGCCACGTGGCAGCAGTTCCGCGCCGACCTGCTGAAACGCTTCGAACCGATAAATTCGAGTTTCCTTGCCCGGGAAAAAATTCATCGACACCGACAGTTCGGGAGTGTAGCACAGTACACGCAGCAGATGGAGGAATTTTATAACCGCATTCCCGACCTGACCGAAGGGGAAAAAGTACAATCGTACCTCGCCGGGCTGAAGACCGAAGTCAAACGACAAGTCGCAGCGTCAAACTACGCGAGCTACAGTGACGTCGTTTCGGCAGCGGAGCGCTTCGACATGGTCAACGCCGGAACACGACGGGCGCACGTCGGCAGTACACGACAGGGCGACCGCTCGGCTCACCCCACGTTCGCCGACCCGATGGAAGTCGACAGATTCGAGGGGCGGCCACGTCCGAAAAACACCAACTACACGTGTGATTTTTGCGGGGTGCCGGGCCACCGAATCTTCGACTGCAACAAAATGAAGGCCGCACGCGCAGAGTATCGGGCACGCAACAGTGGCGGAAATCTTTCGGCCAATCAGAAGACAAAAAACGGGAGTCGCCAGTGATTGCGGATCTAGCTGGCGAAAATATAAAGATCCGAAAGCGGCCGCGGGATTCCAGAAAAATCAACTTCGACGAAGCTGATTCGACGCGAGAAGGAGGAAATGATGGGGGAAAATCTCCACCCCACGACCAGTCTTCGCCAGGGAAAATCGCCGAGGAAAAATACGACTCCGCGAAAAAAGACTCTGCCGAGACAGGGAAACTCCTTGAAGACCCAAGAAATTATAAGAATTCGTTAAAGTTATCTTATAAAGATGCTTTAATGAAAACTTATGATGTTCGAGGGGCTAGAGCCTTGGAGAAAATTCGGGAGGGACTCCAAAAGAAGCAGACAGCTGTGGAGATCATACCGGTACCGGACAACTTGGGGACCAAATTAAGGAGTGTGGAAAGAAGCCGACCTTTCCACGGAGTCAACGTCCTCTCCCGACACCAGCCCACAACGACTACCCGCTCCCCAGGGAAGACGTCGGTGGAGCTGAAGCAGCTCAAGAGGAAGCTGGGGGTCTACAAGAAGCTGCACAAACCCCGAACTCCTTCTACGGATGCATCCAGTTCTTCGGCATCAGTGACGCGCACAGTTGTCAAAGAAACTTCGGGCCCTGGAGAAGAGCCGTTCTCCAAGCAGCCTTGGCCAGCTGCCAGCTCAGGAGTAGACAACAACACAAAGGTGTGTACGGAATATTGGGATGTACCCTATGACCCAATCAATGAAACTATCTTTGGGTACTCCGAGCAACGACTGCCCCTCGTGCTCGAGGTCATCTGCAAAGGACGACGCCTCCAAGCACTCGTGGACAGCGGAGCGTCACATACCGTCTGCGACAAGGCAATGATCGACCGACTCCGGGAAGAGTACAAGCCTTCAGGATTCTCTGCAACGATGGTGGACGGCAGCAAGTTACCAGTACACGGCGAAGCAGTGCTACATCTACAAATCGGACCACTGCGCTGGAGACCTGCACTCCCCATCACCAACATCAAAGGGCTTGACTTGATCTTCGGGCGAGACTTCCTGAAAAAATTCAACCCCGAGATCAACTGGGTGAACCGCACCGCAAGCATCTACAACAATGGACGGAGAGTACAGCTACCCAACTGGGACGATACAGGAGATATCCCAGTGGAGACACTTGCACGATTCGAGAAGGATGTGAAGCGGACCGACACCGGGTTCCTGGCGATAGCAACAGAGGTGGAGAATGACGGAGAGAAAGCCTCGGAAACTTCAGAAAAAATCAAGGAATTACTGAAGGAGTTCCAAGACATTCTTCCTGACGATCTTCCGAACGAGCTACCGCCATACCGAACGCATCAACACGAGATCGTGGAGGAACCGGGTTCGAAGCCGACCTTCCGAGCACCATACCGGCTCAGCCCTACGGAGCTGACCGACATGAAGAAGCAGATCGAGTATCTCCTAGCCAAAGGACTCATCCGACCATCTACTTCGCCATACGGTGCCCCAGTACTCTTCACACCGAAACCGGACGGAAGCCTGCGCATGTGCATCGACTACCGAGCTCTTAACAAGCAGACCATCAAGAATAAATATCCGATACCGCGAATCGATGACCTGCTTGACCAGCTTCGGGGAGCTACGGTATTTTCCAAACTGGATCTGCGGTCCGGATACTGGCAGATACGGATGGCGGACAACTCTATCCACAAAACTGCTTTTCGAACTCGGTACGGATCGTACGAGTATTTGGTCATGCCGTTCGGACTCACCAACGCGCCGGCAACGTTCCAAGCCGAAATGAACCACATTCTACGACCACTTCTGGACGAATGCGTGGTGGTGTACCTGGACGACATACTCATCTACTCGCGCGACATGAAGCAGCACGTCGAACACCTGCGACGCGTCTTCGAAATTCTTCGACGAGAACGATTCTACGTCAAACTGTCCAAGAGCGAATTCGCCCTGGAGAAAGTCCAATTTCTAGGACACTTGGTGAGCGCTCAAGGAGTTCACGTCGACCCCAAGAAAGTCGAAGCCGTACGTACGTGGAAGACACCCGAGAACGTGAAGGAGTTGCAGCAGTTCCTAGGCTTCGCTAATTACTACAACAGGTTCGTGCCACAGTATGCGAAACTCGCGACACCACTCACGAATCTGCTGAAGAAGAACACGCCCTACAAATGGGAGACGAAGCACCAGGAAGCCGTGGAGCAGCTGAAACAAGCACTAACGTCCGCACCGGTGCTCATCTTGCCAGATCCCGAACGTGACTACGTCATTGAAGCAGACGCCAGTGATTAGGCCGTGGGTGCAGTCTTGATGCAAGACCAGGGGAATGGACTGCAACCAATTGCCTACCTCAGCAAGAAACTGCACGGGGCAGAACTCAACTACCCGATACACGACAAAGAGGCTCTTGCTATCATCATCGCGTTCAAAGCGTGGAGATGCTATCTCGAAGGACGAAGAACGACCGTCTACACCGACCACTGCAGCCTGAAATATTTGAAGACACAACCCAACCTTTCCAGGCGGCAGGTCCGGTGGATCGACTTCCTCGAGACACACTTCCACTACGACATCGTGTACAAGCCCGGCCACAAGAACAAAGCAGACGCTCTCAGCCGGCCTGCACACGTTGCCGCGATTCAGGTCGAAGGGATGAATCCACTACTCAAGGGACTCTTCACCCACGGGTACGCCATCGACCCCGAAATTTCCTTGGCAGAAAAGCGACATCTGCTACAGTGGGACAGTGACATCGCGTACCGGAAAGGATCAACAAAAATCTGGGTACCCAATTACCCTCCTTTGCGCCAGTTACTACTCGAAGAATACCACGACGTCCTGTACGCCGGACACTTCGGTAGCAACAAGACGCTCACCGGTATCGCCAAACACTACTACTGGCCCCATATGGCAGACGACGTCCAGAAATTCGTCACCTCGTGTGATACATGTCAGCGGATGAAGAGCAGCAAGCAGAAAAAGGCGGGACTACTGCAGCCTCTTCCTGTCCCAGAACAACCATGGCAAGTGGTTAGCCTGGACTTCATTACCGGGTTACCACCTACCTCCAGCGGTCATGACGCCATCCTTGTCGTCATTGACAAGTTCTCCAAAATGGGACACTTCATCCCGACACACACGACGGCACGCACCGAGGAGACAGCACAGCTCTTCGTTCGTCACATCATCTCACAGCATGGCATCCCAACTACACTCATCTCCGACTGAGACCCCAAGTTCACTAGCAAGTTCTGGAAGGAACTTATGTCTCTGCTCGGCACCAAACTCGCCATGTCATCCGCATACCATCCGCAGACAGACGGACAGACCGAGCGCCTCAACCAAATTGTTGAGCAACTCCTCCGAGCAGCCTGCAAGGACGACATCTCCAAATGGGACTTGCACCTGCCCGTACTCGAGTTTGCTTACAACAATGCCACACATGCCGCTACTGGACAGACGCCGTTCTTCCTCTGCTACGGACGCCACCCACTCACACCACAAAAACCGACAGCATCACCTACAGTCCAACCCGCACATGATTTCATTACAACCATGCATCAACTTTGGGATCGGACCCATAAGCGCCTCCTTGACATTCAACAGCAACAGAAGCGCCAGGCCGATCGCCATCGCAACGACCACACCATTTCCGTGGGAGACCAGGTGCTCCTCGACACCCGCAACCTGGACATCAGCCATCTCCCATCTAAACTTCGACCTCGCTTCTGCGGGCCTTTCCTCGTTGAAGCACAGGTCACTCCTGTTACCTTCCGCTTACGCCTGCCAGCTACCTGGAAGATTCACAACGCCTTCCACGTCCAACTTCTGAAGCCCTATCGGGACCCGAACACAATTTTCGTCGGACGCCAACCGCCGCCGCCACCGCCCGTCCTCGTCCAGAATGAACCCGAGTACGAGGTCGAGTCCGTGCTCGCACACCGCCGTCGTCGGAATGGCACCGTGGAGCTTCTTATCCGTTGGAAGGGTTATGATCCTTCTGAGGACAGCTGGGTACCTGAGTCCGACATGGGTAACGCCCGTCGTCCTCTGCATGACTACCTTGTCAAGCAGGGTGTTACTTCTACCACCCAGCTTTGAGGGGGGGAAGTGTGAGAGTACGACCCCGTTACACCACTTGGCCTTTTCTTATTTCCTTCCCTTTTCATTTCTCGTTTTACCGCATCTCATTTGGTTTCCTATTTTCCATTTTCCATTATCCTTTGGTCTCTTCCTTTATTATAATTATATCACCGACCAGGCATGGAATGTACTAGAGACGTTATCCAGCGTAATCCTGCCGTAATCCCTTAAAGCCAATAGCCTCACGTGGCTATACGCAGGGTGATTCTATCTTCTAGAAGGGTCTATTCCCTTAGGATAAGATAAACCTGGTTACCTGATGTACTCTGGAAGTATAAAAGCGCCTTGTACCGATCGATAGTGCAACCTTTCCTCGACACATTCGATCCTGTGACACACAGGGAAGGGTGCGGGCAGTGAGCTTGTCCGTGCCAGAGGCACAAACGCGAGCAAGGAAGCCCCAGACGTGGAACGTAGACGCGTCACCAGGTCACCCAGACCAAAGAAGAGTCAGCGAAACCTGAGGCTGCTGGGGGTGCGGCCACATGTTAAGATGGTGAGCGGCGTAGCGAACGGCGAACGGCCACAGAAAATGGGGTGCACCGGCATGGATCATGGAGGTGCGAGCCACCTCCATGACCAAACTGATGCGTCACTCAGCAACCCCCTTTTGCTGCGGGGAGTCCGGCAAGGTGAACGTCTGGGTGATGCCCTCCGCACGACAGAAACGACCAAGGACACCAGAGGCAAACTCGTCACCACGGTCAGAGTGGAGGCGCAAGACAGGGAGACCGCGGTAGACACGCGCAGAGACAAGCCACGGGATAAGAACGGCAGGCACGTTGGCCTTCCGCTCCAGGGGGAACACAGTGGTGTAGCGCGTGTAGTCGTCGACAAGCACTAGGAAGTAGCGCTCTCGACGCGGCCCATGGACAGGGGCGGGGCCCCAGACGTCCATGTGCAGAGTCTGTAGCGGTGCTGCGATAGGGGAAAACGAGGAGGAGTGAGGGGCACGGCGGAGCCGGCCCTCGACGGAGGGCGTGCAAGGTGGGGCCAGGGAGGAGGGAAACTCAGGGAACGACTCGGGGAGGCCTAGGACGAGACCGTGTTGTGATATGTGACGCAGACGCGGGAGCGCAGGGTGACCTAGGCGGTGGTGCCAGAGAAGGGTCGGGTGGGTGAGAGACCGACAGGAGCAGGCAGCAGCAACCTGAGGAGACGCAGCCACCTGAGGGGGGGTCCCAGTCGGGGGGATCACCGTGTCCAGTATGAAAAGACCGGACACCGGGTCCCGTGGGAACGTGGACAGGGGGGCACCAGTGGCGGCCTCGGTACAGATAGCGTACCGCTCGTGTCCAGGGAACGTAGTGGTGACGCCAAGGTCCTGAAGGCAGCCGACACCAACTAGGTTTCTGGAGAACGAGGGGATGTGCAGACCTGTGAGCGAGCCCGAAGGAACCGCCGGGCAGGGGAGGGTGGTGGAACTGCGGGCAACTACAGGGCCGGAGGAGGGGTCAGCAAGAGAGACTGCGGCAGGGACAGGGAGCGGTGTCAACGTGGTAGAGTCGCGGAAGAAGCACCGGGAAGCGCCAGAGTCGAGGGTGAAGGAGAGCGCGGCAGTGGCGGCCGGAGGCGAAGCAGCGACGGAAGCACCAAGGCTAAACAAGACAGGGGATCCTACACCTGACACAGCAGGGGAGTCTAAGCAAGGCACGCCTACACTAGGCAACAAGGGGTAATAAGACGGAAGCACACTAGAGTCATCAACATACATTACATGCAGAGCAGTAACAATGTCATCCATAGCCAGATAAAAAATCCGAGCCCTACGACGAAGCAAGCTGTGCCAGTCTGGGAGCTCGGGCGACGGGCCGAAGCGCTGACGAAACAGGTCGTCCAGGCGACGGAAACAGCGGTCGGAGGTGTGGCCGTTCTTACCGCAAACGAAGCCACGGCGAGGACCGGTCTGGAGCATGTACTGACAGCGCGCGGGACCCGAACCACCACCCGGCAGCCCACCACGTGTAGTACACTTTGTCAACATGTGTAGTTATCATGTTTGTATAGACTGTATAGGGTCACCTTCTAGAGAGTACAACATTTAGGTATATGTTTGTGTACTCTCTCTCTCACATTATTCAATTCTAGGTTTGATATGGTATCACGAGTAGGTTTCGACCCCCCCCCCCCCCCCCCCCCCCCACCTACCGCTTCCGCTCCTCCCGTCGCGTCTCCTAGCCTCGCCTCGCCCCTCCTGAGCCCAGTCGCGACCCCTCCCCCTAGCCCCGTCGCGCCCCTTCCAGGGCCTCGTAGCGCCCCTCCAGGCCCCGTCGCGCCCCCCTTCCAGGGCTTCGTAACGCCCCTCCAGGCCCCCGTCGCGCCCCTCCAGGGCTCTGTAGCGCCCCTCCAGGGCCCCGTCGCGCCCCCTAGCGCCCCTCCTGGGCCCCGTAGCGCCCCTCCAGGGCCCCGTCGCGCCCCTTCGCGCCCCTCCTGGGCCCCGTAGCGCCCCTCCAGGGCCCCGTCGCGCCCCGTAGCGCCCCTCCAGGGCCCCGTCGCGCCCCTTAGCGCCCCTCCTGGGCCCCGTCGCGCTCCTCACAGGCCCCGTAGCGCCCCGTAGCGCCCCTCCTGGGCCTCGTCGCGCCCCTCCTGGGCTTCGTAGCGCCCCTCCAGGGCCTCGTCACGCCCCTCCCAGGCCCCGTCGCGCCCCTCCTGGGCTCCGTAGCGCCCCTACTGGGACCCGTCGCGCCCTCCCTGGGCCCTGTAGTGCCCCTCATGGGCCCCGTCGTGCCCCTCCCAGGCCCCGTCGCGCCCCTCCTAGGCCCGTAGTGCCCCTCCTGGGCCCGTAGCGCCCCTCCTGGCCCCCCCCCCCCATTGCGCCCCTCCTGGGCCCCGCCGCGCCCCTCCTGGGCCCCCCCATTGCGCCCCTCCTGGGCCCGTAGCGCCCCTCCTGGGCCTGTTGCGCCCCTCCTGGGCCCTGCCGTGCTCCTCCCTGGGCCCCGTATCCACCCTCCTGGGCCCCGTCGCCCCTGCTCGGCCCCGTCGCCCCTGCTCGGCCCCGTCGCCCCAGCTCGGCCTTGTCGCGGCCTCTCGGCCCCGTGGCGCCCGCCCTGCCCCTGTCGCAGCTGCCCGGCCCCTGTCGCACCTGCCCGGCCCCGTCGCGCCCGCCCGGCCCCGTCGCCCCCGCCCGGCCCTGCTGTGTCCTGCCCGGCCCCGTCGCTGCCGCCCGGCCCTGTCGCTGCCGCCCGGCCTCGTAGCTGCCGCCCGGCCTTGTCGCTGCCGCCCGGCCCCGTCGCAGCCGCCCGGCCCCGTCGCAGCCGCCCGGCCCCGTCGCAGCCGCCCGGCCCCGTCGCAGCCGCCCGGCCTCGTAGCTGCCGCCCGGCCTTGTCGCTGCCGCCCGGCCCCGTCGCAGCCGCCCGGCCCCGTCGCGCCTGCCCGGCCCCGTCGCGCCTGCCCGGCCTCGACGTGCCTGCCCGGCCCCGTCGCGCCTGCCCGGCCCCGTCGCGCCTGCCCCGACCCTCCATACTTCCTGGTACTGTCCCTCGTTCCCCGCACCACTTTGCACCCTCCTGCACTTTCCTGCCCCGCCTTGCACCGCATTGCACCTCACTGAACCGCACTGACCGTACTGCACCGCACTGAACCGCACTGCACCGCACTGCATCGCACTGCACCGCACTGGACCGCACTGCACCGCCCTGCACCGCACTGCACAGCACTACACCGCACTCCACTGTCCTCCACTGCCCCTCATGGCTGCTGAGCTTCGTTTTGATGCTGAGGGTCAGCCTCTGGAGTTCGAGGCGTGGTTGGCTGACCTTCGCCGCCACCTCACTGGTCAGCGGCAGGACGGCCACCCGCTTTCTGCACACCTAGACGGTATGCTCCCCTGCCCTGACCCCCCTGCTGTGCTGCCTGCTGATCCCACGCCCGCTGAGCGCGAGTCCACTGCCGCCGCTGCCCTTGCCCGCTCTGTCTGGCTTTCCCGCGATGCCCTTACTCAGCTCGCCATTAGCAATGCCCTCCCCCCCCTTGAGCGCCCTCGCTTTAGAACCATTACTACCGCCCAGGCCTACCTCGATGCTGTCATCAAGCGCTATTCTACCCCTCCTGCTGCCTCAGTGGGTCGCCTGATCCTCCCCCTGCTCTTTCCTGACCTGGCGTCCTTCCCCACT